CAGCATTATTTTTCCAGCTGGGCTCCCACAAATGTGATCCTTGATAATTTTTTCAAAGTTTTTCCCAAAGATAGAGGTGAGACTAACCGGCCTATAATTAAACTCAGATAAGTCTGGCTTAATCTGAAATAAATAAGGTCACATAGCCTTTTGCATTGGTTTAGCTGAATTGGTTTAAAACAATACCTTAAACTAGGGCAACTTTTTCTTATGAGTAACCCCAATGTATAGGTGCAAGTTAAGTCTATGTGAATCAGGCTTAAGCTACCATTGTGGTTTAACTAAATTGCGTTAAAATAAACTGATGCAGCTTTGCGTGTAGTTAAGCCACTCTAGCAGCTTGCCCTGTATTTTGCCACGTGAAGTCCAGCTGGGTTTACATTTTGCTTGTCATTAGTTTTCTCGTATTTCTTACCACTTGCCAAGAAGCTTGCTTTCTTGGGCTTGGCTGGTGGGGAGAGCTGGGAAAAGGGAACTGTTGCCAGGTGCTCCTGGGTAGGCCAAGCAACAGGAACAGAGTGGAAGATCTGTGATCACTTTGCCATTCCTTCCCAAGCAGGAGGCTGTTCGGGGCCAGCCTGGGCAGGGAGTCAGACAGACTGGGTGCCTGGGCTAGATTTCAGGATGAGAGGAAAGTCTGCATCTCCTTGGATCTCTTCTGCAACAGGCAAGCCACAGTTTATCAGTACAGGATGTGGAGAACACCTTAGGTTCTTCCCATGCAGTCTTCTCAGTATTGCTCACTTACACTTAAGCTTCCAGCTTTCATACTGTGACTTGCCAATTCCCCAGGAAGAGATTTGAGCATAAACTGCTCCCCAGGGCAACAAGAATAAAAACAACTGGCTCATGAGGTATCAGGCAGGTGTGTGGTTTTAACACATACAGGACATTACTTAATGGGTAGAGCCTGTCTTGAGTGCCCACACGAAGGAGTCTTTACTTGCCAGCCCAGAACTGTCCCGGCTGTTCTTTCCTTTTGCACTGCCCATTGCTTCTGCCCTTATACTGCAATAAGAAAATGTATTTGTTGGTAGCAGGCATTCTGAATTATTGTGTTTTAACAGTGTATTTATAACACTCCCAGTGTACTAGGTAGAGAATCCAGGTGACTTTACAAGGAGATCAGCAGAACCATTTTATCATTACATCACTGCAGGCACAGGAAACTATGGAATATCTTGTATAAAATGCTAGAGAAATAGATAAAACTGCATGGATTTGGGCAAGGGAATAGGTTGTATGCCATTCCCAGTTTCCAAATGATCAGTGCAGGCACTAGGCCTGCACGTGACAGCAATAATAATTCAGTTGTAACTGAAGTAGCAAGCATTTCTCTGCCTGTGAGTTGGGATTAAGATACCAACAAGTGTAGGGTCTCGTGTAGCTTGGGGGCCTGGTAATGAAGAGATGTGGAACTTTTTTAGTAACCGCTAAACTCAACCAGACTTGTAACCTGTGGAAGCTGTGGGAGTTGTTTCTAGTTACCAGTGGATGAACATCTACCTTGTTCCCACAGTGGGCATCCTGGAAAAACTGAAATAGGCAAAGAGGCTGCACCTGGTTGCTTGGTTATGTAATATAAGGGCTGTATAAATACACACAGGGACAAACAACATGCCTTTAGTTTAAAATAGGGCTGAAGTACTTTGACAAAACTAAGTGAAGTGGGGGCTGTTGATTTCAGGACACTTAAATTCTGTAGTTAAGCAGTACCTTCTTTTTTTAAAGAAATGCTGGGCTGAGAATAACTGGGCCAGAAAGTTATTTACTTTCCTGCTGGGAGAATTTATTCTCCAGTGAGAGAATTCAAACAGACTTCTGACCATGCAGCACTGGAAATTATTTAAAAACAAAAACCTAGACAGGATTAAGGTTGAGTCAAATATTATGATAGTAGAAGAGGGAGTAAACACTTTCAAGTAGCAAGTAATTCTGGGAAGAGAGCTTACATCCACAATCCATCACTTGAGATCACTGTACATCGCAAAGGAAATGCCACCTGTAGGAACTCCTTTAAGATTTTTTTTGTTTTGATGTTTGCTGCTCCTGGATCCCCCAATTGGCAGAGGGGAAATGCTTTTCAATTCCCCAGCAATCAGCAGCAAGTGGCAGGCTGGCAGGGCCCAGCTGCTAATCAGAGGCGGTTGGGTGGGGCAGGAGGATAAATTAAATGAGCTGCTGCGTGGAGCCCTTCCTCCTCCACGATTCACCGAGATCCCTATCCATCACCTCATCCCTAAGAATTGTAGCAGAAGGCACGCGCTGGATTGTCTTACATAGCTGTAATTACTAAATTCTAGTCTTTTGCTGGAAAGACTAGAGCCAACTACATTCAACAGTGTGTACAGATAGAAACATGAGAAGATACTTGTCACTTATATGGTGTGATAAAAATCCAATTTGTTGTATCCCAAAGCATATTTCCTCAACTTAGATAAAAAGCAGAGGAAGAGATACTTAAGCTAAGGAACATCAGAAATCATAGGAGTCCCCATGAACCTGGCAGAACTGTTGGCTCCCAGAATTAGATTGCTTGAAGTGAACAAAACCAGACAACTGCCAGCAATATTACGTGTGCTTAGACACTGGCCACACTAGGTAGCCTCATAGCGTACTCATGGAAGTGGCCATGAACCCACCTGGCAAATAGCTCAACCGAGAACACATGCAGGGCAGACCTGTTTTTAGAACTGTTAAGGATGAGTTACACGCCATTCAACTTTGCAAGCTCCTGCCCATAATGGAAGCAGCAGTTAAACCATTTTCCATGCTAATTCGAGATGTTTTGCTGGCACCAGGCAGAAGGAAGACTTGAAATGTACATGTTGGCTCAACTGTTACAGGCCTGCACCCCTTTCCTGTAGAGAGCATGGGAGAGGCTGACTGCCCCATGTTCAAGTCAATGTTTTCATATCTTCATATGTAAATTAAGACATCCTAATGTCTAATGCTTCCTAGCTCAGAGGTGCTGTTTCTGCAGTAAATGCTTCTGCAAAGCAAAGTCATCACACAGGGAATTCCCTCACACTGATCACCTGCTCCTTTATTGGGTGATATGCGACTGATGAGAATCACTGGCTGTTACAAGTCCTTACTGGAAAAAAATGTCTTTATGAGAGACTTCACAGTAGTGCTGCTGCTTCTAGATTAGTTAGTTGTTCAGGTGCTGGAGGACATGACATAGCTATCAGAGGGTAGGGGCAGGAGTTTCATTTGGAAGCTTGAAGGTGTTCAACAGCAAGAGGGAAATACCAAAGAAAGAAAAGAGTAATTGCTTTTGTCATTACAATGAGGGTAGAGCTATTGGGGGTCCACAGGGTGACCTGGTGCTGCTGTTCCCTACAAGAGCCCATTTGTGAAGTTGTGAATCTTGTACTGCTCCAATGCAGGCTACCAGCTGGAACAGCAAGGAGTGGTGCAGTAGTGTGCACATTGCTAGTTTCCCAGGAGATCTGCCATTTTCATCTTGTGACAGAAAATAAATGTGTACACTTGGATTTTGCTTTCTTTCCAGCTCACAGCTGTTGCACTCATTTTTTCATAATTTGCTATAGGTCTTAGATCCCCTTCTCCAAACAGATGCAGGTAACAGAAGCTGCTGAATAAGAAACACCTTATTCAAAAACCACTTCGGGGGGAATCTTGTAAACCACATCCCATTCCAGCTTGCTTAAGTGTTGATCTTGGTTATAGTTTTCTGTTAAGTGGGGATACCTTCCCATCACAACCCACATGCTGTATTCTCCTGTGTGTAATTGTCCAAGCTATTAATTTAAATTTCCTTTTAAAAAGTCAAGAGCTGTTGGATATGCTAGAACTGGAAACTGCCTTACTACTTCAAGTGCCACACACTGTAGTAGACACAGATGCAGGGGGCTGTAATGACAGGAGTACAGAGGATGGTTAACTCTCCATGGATACAGGATAAAAGACTGCTTTCAGCACTTCCTGTCCTCCAAGTTTAAGGAAGGTGAACACGTGCAGCTGTGATAAGGCCAACTCCAAGTTTTCCTATGACACCTGATTACTCTAAAATCACCTGTGCCATTTGTCTTTTAAGAGTGAAACAGTGGAAAAAGAAGAAATTAAACAAACATTGTACTAAGATGCATTTCCCACCTTTTACTAAACTAGAGCAATTTAACTGTGTTGGTTGTAGCCAAATTATTGTTTAAGCCTCTCCCCTGCAACAGATGAGTCAAGTCTTTTAGACTATTCCCTCCAGAGGCTTTTTAAAAATAAGTTTCCTCCTTCCCTACCATGTTGAGTTTCCTGCTCCCAACCCTATGAAACTAGAGGTCCTTGGTCCTCACTGAGAGCAACCATTTGAAATTAGTCCCAATTAAAGCCACTTCAGATAAAAACACCTGAGAAAGGAATAGGACCCTTGGGTCTTTCATATGAAGTAACTACAGTAACATGCTTGGTTCTTATGCAAATTCATTCTGCAGTATTTTAAATGTTGCATAGTGTCTGTAGATTCAGGCTGGTGTAGGCCTGATACTTGCCAAGTGTGTAGACTGGTTCTTGTACAGAGCAAACTCAATATATGACACTGGAAGAGGCATAAGCTGTCCATAACTACACTTAGAACTCATTTTTAGCAAAGAGGAGCATAACTTACAGGTAGGAGTAGCACCAAAGAAGCAAGACAAAAATTTTGTTTCCAGGGTAAAAACAACAAAATAACCCCCCCCCCCCAAAAAACAGATCTCTGAATGTGGACAGATGGAGACTGTGAATACGAAAGTGGCTCCACTGCTCAGACCAGGCTTTTTGGCAGACCAGTGTGTTTTGGAGGATGGAGACACAAGGATAAAATGTAGAAGGTAACAGTGAGGAGCAGGTGAGATCACACAGAAAACTTCTCTCCCCCAGTGGTTTTGGGAACACTTCAAGAGCTCATACATGAGATTTAGAGGTCAGTGATGGCAAAGCAAGAATTTAAAGTGCTCTGTTAATACTAAAGAAAGTTTCAAGACTAAGACAACAAATGGTACTGCAAGTTGATGCAAGTTTTATTTAGACTGTACAAACAGGGCACTGAAGGAGGAAAAAAAGCCTACTGGCTTGATGTTTGGATAAATGGAGTAGGAAAATAAAAAGGCACTAAGCTTAAGAAAGACACTCCATCTGTTCTAAGAATATAATTCATTTAATACTGTTAATTTTATAGCACAAAAAATAAAACAAGCTATGATCCCCAAAATAAACTTTAAAAGCTTACACTTAATATTATTGCCTGAAGTTCATGGTCTTTAAATTACATCAACTGTTTAATGTTTACACAGTGAAGACTGTCTCAAATACAAGGCCACCTTTTCCCTCTGCAGAATTATTTCCTTATCCCAGAACACATTTTCATTTAATAATACACAATTAAGTAAACAGAAATTGACAACTATACAGGAACAGGAACACTTCTACTGGTCCCAAAAGGCAGTAAAAGACTAAGAGAGGCAGGTCTCACTGTCAAATGCAGCTACTGAGGGATGCTTGAAAACTGTACTATAAAACAAACAAAAAAAGTTGGCAGCCCACTTATTCCCAGGGTGTTAATACAATATAAAAAAAGTTACGTTACAGGCACATGAAATGGCACAAAAATGCAATTTTTCCCTTTACAGAAGTAATATTCAGGCTCGAGCCTTAACCCAAAAACAGGATATTCCCTTTTGTTTCTTCCTGCCCAACTTGTAAACAATGAATTAAAGTTAGTGCTTACCCAGTGATGTGGACATGGATTAGAACAGTTTCCATTTTAACTTGTCAGACTGGTCAGAGGCTTGAGTGTTTTTATGTACATAAACAGGAGTCAAACAGCAAACCTCTCATTGTTAATTGTTTTGACAACTAACATTTACACCAGTTGCTAGTTAGAAACCCAGACAAACTACAGAAAAGTTGTGTGGAACATGGTCCATTTAATGATGCATAGATTGAAACCATCACTTGATAAACTTCCATGATTCATTAGCATGTTTATTCCCAAGAACATCTACACTGACAGTAAGTTTTTTGTCCACAAATTTAAGAGTCTTGTGAATGCCAACAGCACAGCATGCAACACATGATCTTGAGAAACCAAGTCATCGAAAGAAAACATGATCAAATGCAGTTTCTTTGTACGAAAATACTTTTGTCTTACTATAAAATTGCAAAGGACAGTGCGATGCAAGTTTACAGTCAACTTAACCTGTTCAACATGCTACATTTAAACTGTGCAACACAGGTGAACCAAACATCCCCTCCTCACAGAAGCATGGAGCCCGAGAGTGGCCCAAAACTAAAGACGTAGGATTTTTTTCCTTTGCATGAGAGGCCACCATGCATTGCTGTGCTATTGCATTCTGACACTGATCACTGACTGACATTTTTGCATAGTTGGAAGGGAAAGTGGTCCACTTTTGTGGGATCAAAACCAATAAATAAATCCAGAGCACTGCTTATGCTGTTCCAAATAAAAAGGTATCCAATGGAGGAAGAGCATTTAAGAAAGTGGTTTTAATTTTAGAGAAAGTATGAAGAGCTCTTACCCAGGTGATTGTTGATCTGATAGTTCAGTGTTCCAAATTTTAGAAAGAAAAAGAGGGAAACCCTCCGATCTCCCTTCTGAAGACACTTGTCAATCAATCACTGGGCCAGGACTAAAACAGGATTTGCATGTGGCAGACAGTTTAGTACAGTTCATATATTCACAAGAGTACTTTCAGTAGTACAATTTCCATAACAACTTAAGGTGGTATCGGGGCACGGACACACAGGGACACTCAGTTAGTTTCTATGACTGTACAACTATTACCATAGCAGAGGACAGCGCAATGCCCATTGTCAAGAATTCTTCCCAAAGCACCAGGTAATTCAATCAATGCTATTCTACTTCACAGTACGTTTGTTTGGCAGTAAAATGCTTTAAGACTAGACCCTCTAGACTGTCCAGCCACATGATCAGCACTACAAAATGTATTTAAGGGTGAAATGAGATGCTTTTGTTAAAAACTTAACCCCTCCAGTACTGAATTATTCGCTGCAAAATGCTGCATTTCTTCAGTGCCTTCTACTTAACCTCAAGGCACTTCAACTGGAGTCAAGAGCAACATGTCCAATGGTTTGAGAGCCCACGATCATACACATCTCAATTTAAGATGAAAACATACACAAAATAATTCAGAATTTAGAAAAACTGACTTGAAATATGAACTTTATTTGCAATATTTCTGCATTTCACTATACCTTAAGGTATTCTGGAATAAATCGACAACTCCACAACAAATGTGTCACCCAGCTGTTTAGATTAGAAATCTCCTACAAAGACTGATTAGAGAAGGACTACCCAGAAGGTAGTTTCATAACTTTTGTTTCCATCTGTATCCTATTAAATCAGCATTACGGTTTTAAAAGAAGCATTTCAGTTCACCTTAAAAATGCATTTTAAGAGGCAGGTAGAAAATATGTCAATATACCTAAACTTTCATGCCATGAACACAAAGTTAAGGGCTTGTCTAGACACAAGTTGTACTGCTTTAATGGTACGAGTCTAGTCAAGGACAAATAAGTCAATCCTAGTGTGGCTGCAAGATCAGTGGTATACTTGGTGTGCATCTGAGAAGACAGATAAGCTATACTGGTCCAAGGCACCCTTATAAGTCTGCTCCTCTTCAGAGTTTGAACAAACTGTCGCATGTGAAAGCCAACTGTGTGGATTTTCCCACAAGCCTTTGATTCTCAATGGGTGCCAAGTGAGAGAGGCAAAACAAGATGTTGGGACAGTGAAGTATCAACCACTACAAAAGAAGGGCAGTAAGATGCCCAAACACTGGAAATAAGGGTATGGTGTTTGCAGAAGAGAGGTGGGAAAAGGCTGGATCCTACACCACTAGAGTTCTGGAGGTTAGAGAGTTTATGCAGAAATGGTTTAGAGATCTTAATTTATTCAGCACTACTGTTTTCTGACTTCCACACCCCCTGTGGCAAATCAGGGCATCCAATACCTCCAGGCAATAGCTTAGTGACAACAGAACTTTACCCACATAACTTACCATGTCTGAAGAGAGATGTAGTCTTACCAGCCTAGTTAGGGCTAGCACAAAATCTGTGTAAATCTAGCTTAAGTGTTTCCCTTTAAAGTTCATTTTCTACAGTTACAGTGCTTGCAGTCATCATCAACTTTTACATGCCCATTCAGTTATCTGCAAAAATCCGTTTTGGGAAAAAATGGCAACACAGGCTAGGAGTGTAACAACTGATAAGTTTCCTTATAAATAAGTGTCTCCGCTTCAATGCAGTATTTTCAATGGTTATTTGCTTTCAAATCACAAACTTTATTTCTAAAAGGTCAACAGCAAGCTTTAAGAGTAGTATCACAAAAACAGCCTTGTTAACACAGCTGCTCAGAATACACAAGCTTCAATTATTGTCTTTTAAAGAGACCAGTATTTGACTGTACTGCCTTAGGACAGATTATTCTCTTAAAACCAATTCCGTCTCAGCCCCAGAATTGCATTATTGTTGCTGCTCTTTGTTGGACAGTGATCCACAAGTTTTATATTTGATCTATGAGGCAACTTTCTCCTATTGAACAGGCTAGAACATGTCCTTGAAAGTCTTGACAGGAAAAAGACTTTTCTTGCTTGTTACCTCCTATATGCCTGTTTCAGTCTTCTCCAGCTTAAGGCCCAATATAATCTAGAACTGAAACTACATTCTCGATGATGCAACTATGGTATGAGAGTCAGTAAGTGACTTCAGTCGTGTGCATTCCACAAGTTCATTAAAACAACCGTCAAATTGCAGCAAGCTGGAAAAATGGGCAATGCTAGCAACGTGTCTTTAATAGTCATCATCCCACCTCAAACAATGCTAGTGATAGCCATAAAAATGAAGCAGCAGGGTAAGTCAGGCAATGGGAATCATTCATTCTCATCTGGGTTTTGAGGGTCAATTATTTTGACGTGTGTAAATGGGAAGAGCCCTTTTCGGCCATTGACTTCACCTTCCCACTGACCATTTATATTCATCCTTGTAACCTTCACAATATCTCCAACCTGTACAATAGAAAAAGAGCGTTATCATCATACATGGGAACATTATTCAAGCATAAATAATAAACCCATCAGAAGACAGGCAAAACAATACTACACATTTAAAGATTAAAAAGGAAGAAAAACCCCCAAAAAAACCCTAAAATCCACAAGATTCTTGGAACAGATTTTTTCCATTCTGATATCAACTGAATTTCTTCTTAAACTTCAGATGTGTGCTTAGTACAAGAAAAATAAAAATTTTAAATCCAAGTTATATTTTACCCATGAGACAAATTAACCTAGTTGAGCCAAAAAACATGTACATTTCAGTCTGTCCACTGGGAAAGTATACAGCTAACACTTCACATGCACAACACTATCTTTAGCTCAAATGTAAAACAATACTATTAAGGCTAACATCAGAAGTAACCTAGAGGCAGTATCTATTTCAAAGCAACACAGTATGTACACTATTACTTCAACATTACAGCCTTTTAAAGAAAGTCTTCATTATTTGATCAAATATATTTGTCACTGTAGGGAGTCTCACATTCCTATGACTATCATAGTTGGACAAAAGCAGCATAGGGAGCCACTGCAGCTTTCTAAATCAATGTAGCATTTTTCTATTACAAAGTAGCTGTAGCTAACAAAGCAATGAATTTCATATGAAAAGGAGGGGGGAAGATTCTAGCTTTATCCATTTTTTCTACCAGCACTTCCTGTTTGAGGATTTAAAGGAGTAATTCCAAGATGGGTCTTTCCTGTTACAGCCATATTTTTCTTCCTATTTCATAATGAAAATGAGGGATAAGAGGTGCAAAGATACACAGCAGAATAGCCAGTAACACTTGCCCACAAGCATCAGCTTTAGTTAATTGTTAATTTCTCCTTGAAGTACTTCTTGTTTAGCTTTGTAATTGTTGACCACATCTGACTTGCTGCAACAGTTTAAGGTTTTCAAGGTTTTACTACCACCTTTCCCATTTCTTTTTATTTGGATGGTTATGACAGCAAATGTTCAGAAAGAGGGGCGATGCCAGAGTAGTAGTATTAGTAGCTTAATAGTAGTTTCCAGTTTTACAGGCAGAACAAATCCTGCTCCCTTATGGAATTAATGCCACTTCCATGGGTAAGCATGAGGACAGATGCAATTCACATGACAGAAGCAAAGCTTCCACTGTTAGGAAAACCCTCTAGCCCTTACAGTTAAAAGAACTTTTAAGCATCAATTAACACAGTCTTCCTAGTTCTGCACAATAACTCCAGTTCTCTTGTCATAGCTATTCAGAACCAGAGCCTTCCATAGTATTTAGTATTTCTAAACAGAGTAGCAAGTCAGACACATTTGACATCTTGGAGATCTTTCTACCAGTGCACCAGTCGCATGTTACATTTAAATCAAGGTTGCCAACTCGTGGCATGTGTGACAACTGGCACAAACGGCTGCTGTGCGTGACAAACCCCAGGCACTCAGTAAAGGGAGGTGCCAGAATAGAGGCAAGGAGTGGAGCCACACAACCAGGACATGATAGTGTTACCACCAAGAGCAGAGTTCATCCTTCCCTGGCCCTGTAGCCACAGCTGGATGTGGAGTTTTGCATCTTCCCTCACATTATGAGGGTGCAGCAGCTGTGGCTCTTGCGGCAGTGTCCTGCCCCTGCTCGAGCCCCCCTGCCTCCAGCCTGGTACCCCAGGTATGCCTTTGGGAAGTGGAAAATCAGAGCAGCAGCACGAAGGATTGAGTCATGGCACACCTGCCAGAAAAGGTCAGCCACTCCCAATTTAAATACTTGTATCTGGCTTTCTATAAGGTGGTGTGCCCCTTATCAGTACAGGATACAGTTGCCCACAGCCAACATCAAGACCGTACAGCCTAAAATGATATTCAGCTTAAAACCCTACCTTGTTGTAAAAGGGTTCTGAACAGGGGCCTTAAATTACAAGAAGCTTCAGTTTCTTTAAGTCTGTAGGAAATATATGCTTTGCCTCTACATACTGCTGTTGCACTAACTTTTAAATCTTTTTAGCAAAGACTTTAAAAGGTTCCTTACAATATCTTGCTGAAAGACAGAATTAGTACCAGCTGCTCCAAAACTGGCCTCTTACATACCTAGCCTGCATTTAAAATAGTATATTACATTTAAGTGACACAAAATACTAAATGGGGATGACACAGTTCCTTGAAGCAAAGTTCCTCTATTGTAAAGAAGGCACCTACAAATCTCCAATCTCCACAGTCACTGTGAGCTTGATGCATCTAGCAATTTTCAGAAGCCAGAAAGTTCAGAAGCTCAAACAGATTCACACTATATTAAAGCTATGATAAAATTTAAGTGGGGAGAGTGAAGAGCTCTTGCACAACTTTGAAAGCAGGAAAGTAAGACTACGTAAGACCTACAAGGATGTCAAACTTGAAACAAGTTAATACACCTGATCTTTAAAAAGAAAGAAAAAGCTGCTCGCTTAAACCCTTCCTTTCTCTCATTTAAATAAGCTTGGTGAAATGCAGAATTTTATACTTAACACTGACTGACATATATCACCTGGGTCACAGAAATAAGTTAGCTGGAAACATCCCACACTTCCTAAGGATCTCCTCAAGAAAGTGTTGGCCTTTTACCCTCTAAAGTATCTCCTGTTGTTGCTGTGTATGCATTTTCTGGAGTTCATCCAAACAGACTTTTAGTTGAAACTCATGTGTACACTTTCATAATAATTCATAAAAATGCACTAATTATTCTAAGCAGTGTAGTGTTAAATGCACCTGTTTAGTGTTGTAATTAGTCTGAATCAACAATTTAAAGAAGCAATGTCCTCCATGCTCTGAGGAAAAGTGCATTTTACCCTGCCTTGGCTTCACAGAAGCTTCTTCTAACCAAACTGCCTGGCTGCCCTGAACCACCACCACCAGCTGGGAATGAAAGATTCCAGGGACAAAGATTTTTGGGTTACGTACAAGGTTTAGACCATCACCCCAGTTACCTGGATTAGGTCCACATGACTTCAACAACTCCTTACATTAAGTCAGATTCTAAACACAACTCTGTATTTTGACACGTTCAAGACAGCTTTGCTTCTGTTACAAAAAATTTTAAAACGTGACCTGATGAAGAAAGCCTTGCATTTGAAAGCTTGTCCTAACTGCCATGCAGTCCCAATAAAAAAAAATAATCTTCCACAAAACCTTGCCTCAACACAAAACAAGCATCTGACAGTAGAGCGCTGCATAGCAGATGAGTACTAAGGTGAGAGAGTACTGCCACTTTGCCTTCTGAAATTTTCTACACTGCTGACTTTGAAGTTAAAAAAAACAAAACAAAGACACAACAAACCCTCAAACTATTCTTCACAAAAAAGCATAATTAAGTGCTGGTAGCTACAAGTTTCCCCAAAAACAAAAGCAGAAAAGTCTCCCTCAAGTATATTTATCTGCTGAGCGGCACTGGGTAACAAACTACCTTGGAAATGTAAAAGTTAGAGTAACATACCAGGATTAAGATCTTGCACATTTCTAGAGAAGCTATTTAAAAATTATTAGTCAGTTATGCTTTGTTTAATTGGAAATTCCTGTACAACCATGCACTGGTACTGCTATAAAAATAAAACAATTCCCTTGAGCACAATTTGATGAAAGTGGATATTAAAACAAGACTTTGAGCAGACATGTTAATGAATGTCAGCATCAAGTCAGTTTGATTCTTGGATTTGTCTTAGTTGAGGAGTTATATTTTGACAGAGTTGACTACTCTCTGCATGTGGTAAAAACAAGTGCTGGTTAAAAAAAAAAAAAAAAAAAAAAAAAAAAAAAAAAAAAAAAATTACAAGGACCTCTGCATCTTGATAGCTTTAGGAGACAAAGTTATTACAGAACAAAACATTAATCCAGTACAACTCTTAGTGACAGAGCACAGGACAGGATCAAAAGACCTGGGTCCTGCTGATTTCTGCTACAAGCTTTCTGCATGACCTTAGTCAACTCCATCCGGATTTAACTTTGGACAATGCTTGCTTAGTTTCATGGTGCCTGAGATGTCCATTAGTTTAGAAAACACGTTGGCCTCAATGGATGGAAGAGGGAAGCATAGCGAGACTCTTGCAGTGAGCAATACTTTAGAAATGCAGCCATTCAGTTCCACCCAAATGATAAAAATCAGAATGCATCTTAGATGGCAGCTTTTCATTACATTCTAGTTACAGCATGAATCCAAAGCCCCAGGAAAAAACACAGGCCTTGGAGTATGGCAGTCGGTGTTAATCATGCACTCAAGACTTCCATACCTGCACATTCCACTGGAAGTGACTCATGCACTGTGCATTTTAGTTCAGAAAACACATTTTACAGGTTACTTCCAAATTAGGTTTACAGCTACCCATTAAACAACTTTGTTAAGTAATCAGTAATAAGTAGGAACTGGACTAACCATAGAAACGTTAAAGGAGAGAAAAATCTTTTGGTTTACTGGTAACCTGTTAGAGGTCCACAGGTCCATTAGTCTTAACAGTTGCTTAGAATCAATAGAGCTGATAATCTCAGTCCACCTCCTAATAAAATAGGTGTGCACCAGAACTAGTATTATGGTTGACAGGAGCAAATACTGATGAGAACATGATGATCTGACTGTCCTTTCAAAATTAGGCTGAAGTATGATAGAAGGGGCAGGGAAGAAGAGCAATAAATGAGGTCCACTTGAACCATGAAGATAGCAGTCTGAACTGATGTCAAGTCCAGCTGCATGCAAGGCAGAAGCTGGTGGCATGCTGAAGTGGCATTTTTGATATCACTGGTAGATGAAGGAGCTGAGCCGACAACAGGCAAATTGTGCAAAGCTTTTCAGCTTTGTCATACCCTTCCTCATCTCTTTCAAAGCTCACAGAGGATGGGAGGGAACCCCCCCAAAACTAGGATGTCTAAACCATAGAACCTCCCTCACCGTGGAAGCCTCAATCTGCCCCACCCCCCGTGCCCTTTCCCCCACACAGACTTACTGGCCGGACACTGTTCTCCAAGCTGCTGGGCT